ATATTTATTCATCACACATTCTTCCTTTTCGTATAGCTTTTAAATTTTCTGTGCACTTATGGTTGCTTCCATCCTTAGGAGGGGAGAAATGGTTAGGCTAATTCCTACAGTACATAATTCAATAGAAAACCTTGAGTAATACATACCAAAAGGGGAGCTAATACCAGAGAAACCTATACCTCAAGGTAATGACAACCTTCTAAAACAGCTACGGAGTATGATAATTGATATTAGGAGGACTATTTAGGGCCATGACACTCTGTTAAGAAATAGAGGTGGTGGTAAAAGCAATAAAATAGTTAGGACTGAGGATCAAAATGAACTCAAAGATGATGGTACCTATGAGAGTATACCAAATCAATTTGAGGTTCTGGTAGAAGACTAGAGCAATCTAGGTGTTATGGTAGTAGACTAGAGCAGTCTAGTGTTGGTGGTAGTAGCATAGATGCTTCAATTGATCAAGCTTGGAAAATTTTCTCCCATTTTAATTCTCCAACTTTTGATGGTAGTATGAAAGAGAGAGAAGTGAAATAATGGATTGAGCATCTCAAGACCATCTTTGATGTGGTTACTTGGTCATTAGAATAGAAGGTTACTTTAGCTACTGTGTCATTTGTTAAAGAGGCCAAGTATTGGTGTGATTCTGTTAGACCAATAGCTTGATCTCATTTGAATTGGGAGAAATTTAAGTGGATGTTTTTCAACTATCACTTCCTTTTTGCCTTCAGAGCTGAGAAAGAGGCAGAATTTCAAGAGTGGAAGCAAGGGAATATGAATGAAGAAGAATTCATCACTAGGTTTAATCAATTAGCAAAATATTCCACATATTTTCAGCATATGAATGACACTAGCTGGAAGGCAGAAAGGCTTCCAGAGAAGATGTGACCATGTATTGACAAAAATTGGTTCTATTAGGAATCATAGCTACCTACATCCAATACTTTAGTTCACACTTGAAAATTTTTGCTAAAATCACAAGCTTAAATTGAGTGCTTGCAACCACAGTACAATAATCAAGTCTTATAAGTCTTGAACTCACTTAAAAATATATTACAAAATCATTGTAAGCAATAAACATTTATAGGGTGCTTGGATTAAAGTGGATTTGGATTTGGTTTAATACCAAAACCCTCATTTATACAAAAATTTATTAATTTAAATTTGATTCAAATCCAAATCCATTTTAATTTGTAATTTCAAATTCACTTTACACCCTAGTCAATTGAAATTAAAACCATTTCAAACATCTTGTTCCCTTTGCTTTTTCACTATTAATACATTGCTCTCGTATCTTTTCTCATCTTTTGTCTATTAAAAATAGAAATAAACTCATTTTTTTATTTTTTATTTTTGTTTTGAATCTCAATTATTTATTTTCTTCATTTGAAATTTTTAAAACTACTTAAACAAAGGATTTAAAATACAAGCTTTCAAATGTAAAATCTAAATTCAAATTCATCAATCCAAGATGAATCCAAACACTACCTTAAGGAAAATATTTCCTAAGATTTTAGAAAGTAGAGTAAGTAATCAAAGCCCTTAAACCCTCAAAAGAGTATATAGAAATATAATGAAAGCTTATAAACTAGTTAATAGAGAGCTTTTTCAAAAATAATCAATGCAGTTGGTAAAACTATGAATGCAATCTGTCAATTCAATAGCTACTCATTTAAATGAGGTTTTGTTTATAGTATGAGGAATATTATTGCCATTGGATACTTCAACTAGCCATTTGGAGCCACAATATTGCATTATGGAAGTAGAAACTAAGAAAAATCCCTTTATCTATAAAATTCATTAAACACGTGTCAAAACTCAAAAAATTGACTGTTTGAATAGTACAGAAAGACTTCAACGAAATTTAGAATAATACATGTATGGAAGCCCACTGAAACTTGTGTGTTTTAAGAAGGCAAAAGCACAAGCTTCTTTGGAATACTAAAACACACGTAGAGGCTATCTGGATCACATGAGGAATAAATGCAAGAAGTAAATAACCTCTTGTACATTTTGAAGAATCCATAGGTGAGATCTAGAATTTGTGAATATGGGTTAGACAAGTTTTGAACAGTTAGGATGAAATAAGTTGGCTCAAATGCTTAAGACTTAAACTTAGGAAAACTTGAGTGAAACATTAAAACTTGCATGTTTGACACTAGAATTCACAAGGGTCGATAAGTTTAAGAACTCAAGTAGAACTGGTAAACTAATACTCATGAGGATGAGAACTTAACCTCCTGAGGATGAGAAGTGTAAAGCCTTGGTTAACACTATCACTCTAAACTCGTGTGTCTTACTACTAAAACTCACATGTTCTAAGTAGATGAAACTAAGCTCCTTTCTGCCACTCTAAAACTCACTTACTTAACCTCTTAAGATTGCGTGTCCGAGTAAGGCAAAAAACACATTCTTCTTTAAAGCTCTAAAACTTGCATGTTTGAGCATGATAAAGCCAAGGACATTCTAGAACTCTTAAACTCATGAGTAAGTTTCTAAGAACTTGCAAGTATGAGTTTCAATACTCAAAAAACAATATAAGGCATTCCTACTAATACATGCGTGTCCTAACTAAAACTCATTAGGATGAGATTATGAACATGAGATGGGCAAAGATATTTTCTAAGTTCCAAAATCATGTATGTATGAGCCCAAGACTTGTCTTTTAAAAAAGTTTTTACCAAGATGCAAGCTCTCTATTAGACTGACTTTTAATAATAAAACTAGGAGAATAAAAATTCAAACATATATAAGCTAAGTCTTCTCTTGTTCTTACTCCTTTGCTCTCTTGGAAGGTTTTATCATTATTAATTGTATAATCTAGAGAAGTAAAATATTTTCTTAAGTTTTTTTAAATTATCAAAACAATACGTTCAACATGTACAATTTTGAAGCAAAGATGTTGAATATTAATATTAATTATATTTCACTTTTATGAGTTGCATATATGTTGAATTTATATTTAAGCCATGAATGTAGATGGCGGAGGCTGTTATAGAAATTATACTGAAGTAATTATGATTATGTTTTACCATATAGTCTATCACCACTTGGTGCCAAGTGGTTATTTCACATTTGCAAGGCCCTTGTTATTTCTCCTTTTTTTTTTGGCCAAGATTAGAGTTAGCCTTTAAGACATATGACACCTCTTTGGGTGATCATAAGGGATAGGGAATCCATGGACCAATAGTGAGCTCTACACCTTTGACTAAGTTGATCCTCATTATTAGTTAGCTTGAAAGGTTTGATCAAATAGACGGATCCTATTTGATTATGGCAAACTATAGGTTCAGTTAGAGGAAATAAGAAGGGAGTTTACAAATATGCGATGATATACATGTACTTGTATGTTTTCAATCAATTATTTATCGTTTAATTAATAATTAATTATGTATCATTCTTTATTTTTCCCACTTAACTACCTCTAAAACATGCCTAAATACACTTTAAATTATTTTGTGGCTACTAGAACCCTATAGTCTCATTATGAGGTTTTCAACATTTCAAGAAAAGATTCGGGTGCAACAAAGAAGAAGTAACCAAAAACTTGAGGCACCAACATTATGTCTAGAGTCTACTTATGTATTTTAAATAATATTGTGTACAAGGACTAGTTTAAGGTTATCACTACATTTCATGTTTCAAATTGTTGTTGGATGACTATATATTATTATATTCGGATTGTGTGCTAGTAAATGGGTCTGAGGCCTTAGAATGATACATCATGTAGTGGCGAAGATGGGTAGACTAAGGCATCCCCTTAAATTTTTATTTTTTTAATAAAATGTAAGAGTTATATTTTTTCAGCCCCACCAAAATATATTTTTTGTATATTTGATACTAAACATAAGATCTACTTTCTTTTTAATAAATATAAATTAATATATGAAAAGTTGAAAATTTTAATATCTAAAAAAATGTTTTCTTTATATATAAATATCCTATAATATATTACTATTTCATATACCATGATAAGTAAGGGAATGTGAATTGCCAATGCACAATTGTCAAATATTCAAGCAATTTCACTATTCCAATGTCAATTAAGTGTAACCTTGGTTGAATTGATGAATCAATAAAGCAATCCCTTTGTGTTTTGGCCTTCAATCTTCCTTATCTTTTTCTTTTTATCTCATTGAATTGATAACCTTGGCATTATATCAATTAAGCAAATATAGAGGATAATGTTAAGGTGGCATTATATCTCCTTTTATTGTAATCTTTTAGGTCTTTGTATGTAATTTTTGTGTTCTTTATTATAATTTTTTGTCATTTTCTATAACTTTTGAGATCCTTTCCTGTCCTCTTCTAGTTAACTAATAGTTAAAGTTAACTTTTGTTAACAATAAGGGCCAAATTGTATCATTTTTAAAAGTTAAGGGAACAATTTGTATAATGAACAAATTTAAAATCTATGGTACTATTGGACCTAAGATTTAAAGGATAATAATTTGCTCATTTACCAAAAAAAATATTGTGTTTATTTTTATCAGGTTTAAAGCGTTCCTACTATGGTAAATGTTTTTATAAATTTTAGAATTTAATTATGGTGGTAGATTCTTAAAAGTAATTTAGAAAGTGGGTTATTACAATAACCACGGATTAATCATAAACATTTTTTTTGCATGTTGGTCAAAACATGTTTAAAGATTTAATTCTAAATGAATATACTATTTTTATTTTTAGTAATCCTATAAATCTTAAACTATTCTATCTTTATCCTGACTTTGTTTATAGTTTTTAAAATTATAAACAAAACATATTAAAAACTCAATTAAATATATAGTTTTATATCTCTTTTCAAATTTTAGATAACAAAATGTAGAAAATAAACCATATTATATAAGTAGCAACACTCTTATTTTATTATCTTATAGATCATGTATTTGTAATTACACATGATAGATATAGCATTATTTCTATTACAAAATTAGTGACAACCAAAATAAAACTCCTTCAAGTCTTACAAAGTCAACAACACTACCTCAACATCTAATATTTCCTTACACCAAGCCTTTACTACTAACATCACTTCCAACACCAGCATCTCCTCTAATATTACTACTTGCATCGCCTCCAGTACTAGCACCTTCGCCTACCCCAATACCACCTCTTGCTCTAATACCTCCTCTTGTACCATCAACACTTCCAATACTACCACTAGCACTACTGGCAACACTCCTAGCTCCACTTCTTCCTACACCAAAAGCATCACCTGTACCTACACCACCTCCAACATTAACTCCTACTCTTGCTTCAACACTACCTCTTGCACCAACAACTCTTATACCACCACTAGCACCACCTTCTACATGCCCACCTCTACGTCCTCCAACACTAGCACTAATAACTCCTCTTAGACCCCTACCACCACCTCCACTTGCACCAATACCACCTCCTGCAACTACACTTCCTCCTACACTACCATCAATACCACCTTCTCCTTTTGCCCTAATACTTCCTCCTCTATTACCACTAGCACCACCTACTACACGTCCACCACCACCTCCACTAACACCAAGACTACCTCCTGTCCCAGCATTTCCTACTATACTACCACTAACACCACCACCTCTTCCTGCACCACCACCAATACCGGTACCTCCTCCTACATCACCACTAACACTACCTCCTACACCAACAACTCCTCTTGCACCACCACCACCTCCTGACCTAACACCACCTCCGACACTACCATTGGTACCACCTCCTAAACCACCCCCTCCTCTTGTGCCACCACCAACACTTGTACCTCCTCCTACATTACTACCAACACCAACAACTACTCCTGGACCACCACCAGCAACACCTCCTAGACCACCACTTGTTCCTACCCTAGCACCACCTCCAATACTACCACCACCACTTCCTACACCACCAACACCGGCACCTCCTCCTACATTACCACTAATAGCACCTCCAGCACCAGCACCACCTCCTAGACCACCACCTCTTAGATTGGCACCTCTTCTTACACCACCACCAATACTAGCTCCCCCTCCTATATTAACACTAGCACCTCCTCCTATACCACCACCAGCACCACCTCCTCCTACACCACCACCAACACTAGCACCACCTCCTAGACCACCACTTCCTCCTGCACCACCACCAGCACCACCTCCTCCCACACCACCACCACCACTAACAATACCAGCACCACCTCCTAGACCACCACTTCCTCTTGCCCCAACACCTCCTCCTGTACCACCACCAGTACCACCTCCTAAACCAGCACTTCCTCTTACAACACCACCAGCACCACCTCCTCCCACACTACTACCACCACTACCACCAATACCAGCACCATCTCCTAGACTACCACTTCCCCCTACCTCGACACTTGCATTACCACCAGTACCACCTCCTAAACCAGCATCTCCTCCTACACCACCACAGCAGCACCTCCTCCCACACCACTACCACCACCGTCACTAGCACCTCCTCCTGTACCACTACCAACACCAATACCACCTCCTAGACCACCACTTCCTCCTGCCCTGACACTTCCTCCTCTACTACCACTAGCACCTTCTCTTATACCTCCACCAACACCAACACCTCCTCCTACATTACTACCAGCACCTCCTTTTATACTACTACTAGCACCACCTCCTCCTACACCACCACCAACACCTCCTCTTATACTACCACCAGCTTCACCTCCTACACACCCACCACCACCTCTTCTTGCACCTCCACTAACACCTCCTCCAATACTACCACCAGCACCACCTCCTACACTAACAACTCCTCCTGCACCACTCCCTACACCAGCACCACCTCTTGCACCACCACTAACACTTGCTCCTAGACTAGCACCTCCTCCTGCACCACCACCAACACCTCCTCCTATACTACAACCAGCTCCACCTCCTACACACCCACCACTACCTGTACCTATACCAGCACCACTTCCTTTAACACCACTACGACCTCCTCTTGTACTACTAGCACCACCTCCTCCTCTTATATACCACCTGCACCACCTCCTCCTCCACCACCCCAAAACCTCCTCCTACACTACCACCAGCTCCACCTCCTATATGCCCACCACCACCTCCACTTGCATCAACACCACCTTCTACACTTGTACTTCCACCTACCCCAACACCTCCTCCTACACCACCACTAACACCTCCTACACTACCACCTTCTCCTATACTACCACTGGCACCACTTCCTACATGCACACAACCACTCCACTTACATCAAAACCAGCTCCTACACCACCACCACCTCCTCCTAAATGCCTAACGTTATGATGGATTGCCCCACCAACTTTAAAAACTCCTCTATCAACTACATCACTTCCTCCCCCTATTTCACCCAAGCCACCACTTGCTTTCCATAGTACTATAATGACTAATAACAAAATAAGTGATCTAACGTTGTTTGGGAATCTTTCCATAGTTGTATAAAACTGAAACTAACAATAATGTAAAGTGTATGACGAAAAATATACTTTGACAAAGGCTAAAGTGCCAATTATATGTGACATTAGGTTTGGCGAAGCACCCTTTTTACAGAGGGAAATAATCATGGCATGTTTGTGAAAAGGCTGCCAGCACCGCAATTGCTAGAAATTTCTATGGGCCTTTAACATTGCTCTTGTTGAACGCGAGTGCTACCTGTAATTGCACTAACACTCAACCAGATATAGTGCTCCTGCCGGCATGAAGTTAGTTTCACTACAAAGAGACGTGTCAGTATTCCATGAAGTATTTGGTTTTGGCTGTCGTTTGCCTTGAGGAAAGCAGCCGAAATGCTTCTTTGAAGTCTTTAATTCTTTACCACTATCTATCTCCATTATAAGCTCCAACAAATGACCAAATAAAACGTAATCCACTGTCACAGGCTAAGCCATTAATTAGTTCCAGACTTCCTCATTTCATCGACCTAAATGCTAAACTTTTGCTAAGCGCTAGTTTACAAGTGGCACTGTCTGTGGCAAGTTTAAATAATACTGAGTGCAAAGTATGAAACGATAAATTATATAAATACATCATCCTCCATAAATTCTTGGATCGTTTGACTTTATAGCATATGAACTATTACGTTTAATGGTTGGAACCATTTTGTAATGAGATATATATATATATATATATATCATTACAATTTAATTGTGATTTTAATAAATTTAAGTTTTGGTAAGTTGCAAAATTAAAAAAACAATTTGTAATTTCTAATATTTGAAGCTATATCTTGAAAATTTGATAAGAATATCATAGAAGTCCAGAGTTTAAGGATATTTTGTTATGTTTAAAGATTCATATACTAATAATTTTGCAATAAAACGTTAATTTAGGAGATAATTGGTTTTGCGTAGTTTCAATTTCGATATTACTGTTACTATTACCAATTGGCCGATTATTGAAATCATGATCTATCTTATTTGTATTTTACAAATAATAAGTATTTAAAATAAACATTTTAACATATTTTATTAATTTTAATGATAATTATAATTAATCATTTTATTATTGGTTTGTTCTAATAATATTCTAGTTATTACGTTGCATTAAGTATTACGTTTAGTAGCTGGAATTACCATTTAGTGAGGCAGTATTTACAATCCAGTTGTCAATAAACTTTACTTTTCTTTTTCCATATAAACTTAACGTAAATTACAAATGACTCATCAAACTTCCAACAAAAACAAACATAATTTTTTAAATTTCTAATATTTTAATCTTTGTTTTAAAAATTATTAAGAATGTTAAAGAAGCGATCCAGAGATTATTTTGCCATGTTTAAGGATATCTATGCTAATATTTGCAATAAAACATTAATTTAGGAAATAGTTTATTTTTCCATAATTTCATTATTTCCCCAATCAAATCAAAACAAGTGATTTTTAATATGTTAATAATATTAAATGTAAGAATTTATTATGAAATAAATAATTTATGTTTTGATTTAATTAGAAATAGGCATTTTAAATATATATATGGTAAGCATAAATATATCATCTTTATACTTCTAATTTTTTTTATCTATATTCTTCTTTTAAACTTTATCTTTTTAATTCAGTTTTGATTAGCCTTCTAAAATTGCTTAACAAGATATCATTTTCTTTATATAATGAATAAGGGTTCATGAATATTAAACAAATTTAAAATCATTTTGAAGACATGTGATTAATTTCATCTCGTAAATTTAATCTTGTGAAATAACATTTTGTAAAAAGTTACTTTTAATTTAACATTTAACACGTAAAATTAAAAATATAGTAAATTAATCACATCTGGTTCAATTACGATTCAATTATTATCCAACCATTGACCTTTAAACTATTACCTTGACTAGTTTAATGATAGATCCGACTTTTAAAACCTTAGAATTCTTTTTGGTGAGACATGCAAAAATAATATATACTTTATCAATAAGAAAATTTAATTTCCAATACATAGAACCATACCAATTAGGTTTTATTACATGTGCAAAAATTGATATTCGAACTCTAGCCACTTGATTTAAATAATAATAACGAAACCCTACCACACATATAACAACTTGACGCGCAAATTCAACTACAAAATGCTAACTAAGATTCAAAGATGCATCCATATCTCTCCAATAACCCCATAAGAAACATCAAACCAGAAATTATCTCAGATTTCTCATTTCTCATGTCATAGAAATTATCTCATATTCCTCATGTCATAAGAAATAGCTAAGTGAAATAAATCCTAGTTCCTTATCCAGAAATTAAGATTGTTGTAAACCCATCTTAATACTGCTCCAAATTCAATAGAAAAAACCAATAACAAATTTCAAGAACGAATACAAAAGAAACGAAGAAACGAATCTAAATACCATTGTTTTAAGATATGAATGGTCAAACTGGTTGGATTGTTTTTTTTTCTTTTTACTCTTATTTTAATAATAAAAACTTTTATCCAATTTAGAAATGTTAATTTCAACTTAATTACTTCTTTGTTTTTATAGTGAATTTTGAGTGCATAATTTTCTTTTTGAGATTATATGAATGAAAGTGTAGAGAAAATTGAAAACTCATCATTTGCTTTAAAAGGATAATGTAAATATGATAATGAAAAAAATTAAAACTTAATATGTTATGACTAAATAAATGATATTGTCTTTTAATTTTCAAATTCATAATATAATTTGATTTTTAAAACATTGTTAAACACATAAACAAGATTAAAAAAAATGTGAGATGAAAAATTTAAAACCAAAAATGGGAAGAGGCTGCACGAACGCAAACCCCCACCACAACAAACTATGACATAGGCTCTCCATCTCAAGGAGACCTTAAACAGGCACCCCTTCTAAGTGCAATGAAGGCCACCGACCTTTTTTTTTTGTAAGCATTTTCTTGATCACCCATTGACCCTATCCAGGTAAGTATGTTTCAATTGTTGTGCCTCCTTTTCTTTTATAAGCATCACACCCTCTTTTATCTTATATTCTTATTGATGTGGGGCTATCTCCACTTCTCTATTCTTCAACTTTCCTTCTGATTTTCCTCTTGCCAACAGACTTTAACTTCCTTCTCCTAAATGTCGCTATATCAAAAAGTATGAATTTCCCCTAATCCCTAAAATGTTATATCAGGATGTTTGGGCTAAATATGAAACATCACTCAATTAGGTCACAAGCTTTATTGGGCTGAGTAATTGAAGCGTCATACCTAATATAAATGAAAAAGGTCGGCCCCGAAGCTCAATAAAGGCCATAAAAAGTAAACATGCTGAAATCCCGTCAGCTGTAACTATTAGACTGTTGGCACGAGGACATGATCTTAAGTAATGTCGAAATCTATGTCTAAGTATTTCGATGAAATGGGTTGGTTATCAAAATGGAGAGACCATGCCATAAGTTTCACGAGATCCCTGATTCTTTGGCAGAACATGCTAAGTTTTAACGAAAAGGCTTTCGCTATTCTGATACTATAAATAAAAGGAGAAAATACAGAAGAAACTAGCTAATACTCCATCAAAAACTCATAAATTTTACATTTGTTAGCCCTTTTCAGTGTTTAGTTTTTAGTCTGTAATCTTTTTACATTTCAATAAAAAATCATACACTTGTTCTACCAAAGCCTTGTATCTTTTTACATCCGAGTGAACTGTGGTAAGGGAGTTCAAAACCCTTTCATTATCTATTGAGACCCAACATCTTTGGCATACCTGGTATTTATTATTCAGCCACGAACAATTTTTGGCATGCCCAGTGGGACCTGTGTAACAAAGATGGTAAGGACGTGAAAAGACAAAAAGGACTAATGAAATAGGTATTGGTTCTCACGAACCAAAAGGGACCTCTGTGCATGAAGGGTTAGAACACTTATCGCTTGATGCTAAAGCAGCTGAACATTGTGAGCACATAGTGTCAGTGACTACAGGTAGTAGAAGTATGAGCCTTGGCTTAAAGTCAGGAACTGAACAATCCAACTCGTTGATCATATCCAACGAACCTATAGCAGAAGTGCTATATGAAATTCAAGACCAGATGGATAAGCAGCTAGAAGAGAACCAAAGCTTCTTTGCATTATCCCTGGAAACGTCAAAATGTAGGGAAAAAGAACGATAGCAAGTCATGATGTAGGCCCTACATGACGGCATAAAGAACATAGCTGCATCATTAAGAGGCACTCATCTGAAAGCAAGCTCAAGTGTAGGACTGCTTGGAGGGCAGCAAGCAGGAATCAATAAGTGCTAGCCATCGAGGTCACACATTTGTAAGAGACATCCCTAACCCCAAATATTTTCTCACACTCATCTTGTAAGTAATCCTTTGTATTATTTACAGGAACCCAGCATAAGTGGCCCGGGAGGCACGGCGGTGATCCCAAAGCATCAGACCGAGCCTTAGAACCAACTGGTGAACATGGAGGCCCTGAGGGATGCCATCCAAGATATATATAGACTAGGGATGAGGCTAATCGGCGGCCTAGTCTCTCAAAACCATATCCAGAGTACATAGACAAGGATAACCCATACCCTTGGGGATACAAGATCCCTGACTTCACGTTGCCCTCAGGGGACGAAACATAGTCGACATTGGAGCACATTGTGAGGTTCACAATCTAATGTGGCAAGATTGCTAATAATGAGAACTTCGCTAACTTAAAGTTGAGATTGTTCTTGAATACTCTTACGGGCCCGGAATTCACATAGTATACGTCACTACCCCGTAACTCAATCATCAATTAGATGGAAATGGAGCAAAAGTTCCATATTTAGTTCTATAAAGTAGAACTGGAGGTCAACATAGCAGAACTCTGCAAGCTCACACAACAGGCTGGAGAGATGGTAGACTAATACTTGGTGGGGTTCAAACATCTTAGGAGTAGGTACCACATATTGCTTCTAGAAACTGAATTCATCAAGATAGCATAAGCAAGACTGGATATAGAACTTCAAAAGAAATTCTAAGGGATGGAATTTTGAGATTTCTATGAACTTGCGGCCAAAGTATGGGGTTATGAGGAAACTACTCAAGGAAGAGAACTATCGCCGATGGACTACTATAAGGACCTATTTTGGAGACCTAGACATGGTGATCACAGAACTAAAGAATGCTGGCAACTACACATGCCTAGCTCTAGTAAGGAAGGCCAAAGAACTTCCTAAAAGATCGAACACAATTCAATACACCTTTAATACCACTAAAACAGAGGAAATCCTTGATTTCTTCCTCAAATAGAACTTTATCTCCCTGCCCACTGATCATAAAATCCCTTCGAAGGAAGAACAGAGAGGGAAGGAATACTGTAGGTACCATCATTCGTAGAGTCACAGCACTAAGGCATGTTAGGGATTTAAGAACATCATCTAAGACTGGATTAACAAGGGAGTTCTAAAATTCCCTAAGAAAGAATTTATGGTTGTAAACGAGGACCCATTCCCACCATTTGCCATGGCCAACATGGTGGAGATAAACTCTGGCAAATGACGACTCAGGAAAAGTGATGGTAGGCAAAAGGATGGAGACCCTGGAACATCTGGAATAGGGATAAAGTACCTCAAGGAAACTCTAAGACAGTATGGGACTGCATGGGGAAACCCACGAGTCGATCCAATAAGAACAAGTCTTCTAGATGGGACATAGGCTCGGAAGGGCAGAACATAAAAAGCTCAAATGGCTTTAAGGTAGTTTGGGATGGCTTAAGGAAAACCTAAAATGAAGACAGCCAGTAGAAAATGAAGAAAAATAGCAAACAATCCTCAAGATGGGATATTGGTCGGGGGAATTGATAATAACAAAGCCAGATGGATCTAAGGTGGTTTAGGATCGTCTAAGGGAACTGTATAGCAAGCTTAACTTCTTCGTAAAGTAGTCAACTCCCCCTGGAGCAGGTGAACCATTCATGGGGACACCAACGGGCTAGGATGTAGGCCCTGATAGCCTACCTTTTCGCTATTAATGACATCTGAAAGCAACACAAAGCTTCCTTCAAAACCAAAAACCACTAAAGGCTCAGGCAAGTTCGTTACACCGCTTGGCAACGTGCCGCTTCTGAAATGGAGAGTCATGAGACACAAGAAGTTCCCAACTATCTTAACAAGAACCCAGAAGTGATGTCTTCAACGAAAATGGGCTACACAAAGATACCTTAAATAGTAGAAAATTGAGGTATAGGATAGCTCCGACGTTCAACAGGAGGCTAGCAAGTTTAAAAGGAAGTCCACCTTTGATACATGGTCTCGTTAACACTACCTTCTCAATTCTGGTCTACCACTAGTGGTGCTTAGGGCCAACAGAAACAAAACTCCTCGAGGTTGACACAGACCTATAAGAATGCAGGCACAGAAAGAAGAGATTACAAAGCTTGTTTGCCAAATCACCTTACAAGCAATAGAAGGAAAGCCAAAGTGGGCTGTCCTAGAGAAACCCAGCATGAAAATGACTCAACACTTGAAGCCTTTATACATCAGGGCACATTTCAATGGAAGGCTAATGACTAGGGTCCTCATGGACAATGGCTCAGCGGTGAACATTCTGCCAGCTCGCATGATGATCAAGATAGGGTGAGAGGAGCGTGATCTGATGCTGACTTAGGTATCTATCATAAGGTTCACTGTGACCACATCTAAGGTCCTTAGCATACTACCATTATAGGTTGATGTTGGAACCAAGTCATCACTGATGGCTTTTTTTGTGATCAGCACCACAACACAATACCAGGCCTTCCTAGGTCAGGATTGGATCTATGCCGATGATTGCGTACCTTCTTCACTGTATTAGATGCTTCTTATGTGGAAAGGAGAAGAGGTAGAAGTAGTCTAAGCTGAAGACAAGCCATTCATAATGGCCACTAACTTCATAGATGCAAGGTATTATGGCATTGATATGGGCCCATTTACATTCTGAAAGGCCTAAGGAATCCTTTCATGCAGAACAACAACAGACAATATAGTGCCTTACAGAGGCACGAGCCTATCATAGAATTGATTGATGACTAAAATAGATAGAAAAAAGGTCGTAGCACCATTCAAAAGCTATAGTTGCATAATATACAAGAGAAACTAAAAGACTACAGACCTAAGATCTGTGTGACTGAAGTCATATATGAAGATGAAACCTAAAAGGTAGCACAACTGCACGAACTAGACCCTGTACCTTTAAAATTTGAAGACATAGCCCCAAAGGTCTAAGATCCACCAGAAGAAGTAAACCTCGAGTCCCTAGAAGAGCCAAGGATCACATTTATTAGCTCACTACTAGATGAAGAACAAAAGAATACCATTAAGTTAACACTACTAGAATTCAAGGACTACTTCACATGGGATTATGATAAAATGTCAGGGCTCAATAGACAGCTGGTCGAACACAGGCTTCCTATAAAACCAAACTATAGACTGCACCAATAACCCGCCAAGAGCATGTTTGTCAAAGTGAAACTATGAGTAAAGGAGGAGATCAAATGTCTCCTATAGGTCGGATTCATATGGCCTTGCAAGTATACTCAGTGGCTCTCAAATATAGTCCCAATAATTAAGAAGGATAGGAAACTGTAAGTCTGTGTAGATTTTCAAAATGTAAACACAGCCACACCTAAAGACATATGTGTAATGCCTATTGCAGACAGGTTAATAGATGCTGGGGTCGGAAATACTTTATTGTCATTTATGGATTGCTTCTTTGGATACAATCAAATATTTATCGCAAAAGAAGACATTCACAGGACTGCTTTCAGGTGCCCTAGCTCTATTGGAACATTTAAATGGGTAGTTATGCCATTCGGTCTGAAAAATGCTGGGGCCACCTATCAGCAGGCTATAAATGCCATCTTCCACAATATGATAGGAAAGCATCTAGAAGTAAACATACATGACATAATGATAAAATCTAAGAAGGCACATGATCATATTGAGCATTTAAGGACGAGTTTCCTCTGAATGAGGGAGGTCGGCCTTAAGTTAAACCCACTTAAGTGTGCTTTTGGTGTAACTGCAGGTAATTTCCTTAGATTCTTGGTCTACAGAAGGGGGAGTAAAGTAGACCGAAACAAAGCATGAGCTTCCCTCTCCCTGAGGCTAAGATCCATTGGCTCAGTGGGATCAATATAAAGATCAGATGCTCCATGGTAGTGACAGGCTCAGTGGTTGGCTTCTCAAAGAATAGCTCCATAATCTTCGTGTAGGAGCTTGCGCTCCTGATCTTGCTCTCTAAATTAGAGGAAGGGCGGTGTAGGAGTCATGCTTCTCGAGGATCGTGTAGAAGTTCTCCTCCCTAGTGATAGGTAGCCCTAAGAACATGAAGACATCCCATAGCATAAGGGATATCGGGCTGAGCTTGAAGATGAAGGCATTGCTGCCTAGAGCCCATAAGCTAAAGAGGGCCATTAAAAGCTCCACAAGGATGTTGACACCGGCTAGGGATAGTTAGATGAGGTCATATAGACCCATCTCCTTCTACTGAGGTGCATATTCTGACTTTAAAAACCTCACCTAGTTAACCCAAGCCCGAGGAGACCAGGGCCAGTTCCTGAGTTTTCTGTAAGACGACTCGAGGAAGGGCGAGGTCGTCCGAGTTAAGACCAAGTTGTGAATGGAGGTCAATGGCCATAGCTTCGGTTGAGTAAGGGCAGTGACTTTGGACAGGTCAGGAGAGATTATCAGGTACTTGACGTCACTCTTGTTGGAGATTTGGAAACTCCAAGGCGAAGTGCTAAAAAAAATGAAGCACAAATAAAGTACTTTTCAATAAAATAGAAGGGCTAAACACGAGAAGTGGGAAACTTACCAAAAAGCCACTGATTTGTGGAATGATGAATCCTCTTAAAAAGAAATAAACAACTATTAGAATGGGAATCCAATCTAAAGGAAAAAAGGGTTTTCAGACCACTGAATACATACCATCACAAGCCCGCCAAGTGGGTTAACAGGGTTTCAGATAGTCACTAAAGAATCTAGCAGACTACCAGCGGAGGTGGAAGAAGGATCAACAGCAGAAGAAGCGACAGGAGCGGAGGAAGCCATTTGAAAGTTGGGGTAAGAGAAATGCAGCAAATTGAATACTTGAAGTTCAAGAAACAGCAAAAAGGGAAAAAAGAAGTGACCAGAATAAAGAAACAAGTTTATATCAGCAAAGGGTGCTTAGAAGTGAAGCGACGTTTTAGTTTTTTCAAGCGTGCCACGTGGCTTATGTTACCAGCCACTGGCATGCAGGGGGCATTGTTTAGGCTAAATATGAAACATCGATCAATTAGGTGACAAGGCTAGTTGGGCTGAGTAATTAAAGCGTCAAGCCCAATATAAACGAAAGGGACTAGCCTCGAAGCTTAATAAAGGCCACAAAAAGTAAACATACTAAAATCCCGTCAACTGCAAATATTATACCGTTGGCACGAAGACACAATCTTAAGTAAGCTCAAATGGTTTGATTGAAGTTTTAGAAAGGTGTATCTAAATTCAGCTGGATGATTACAAATGAAAATGAGATAAGTTCAAATATCTAGTTTCTACTTTATTTGATTCTAATTTATTAGATTATGGTGTGATTTGTGGCTGAAGAATTCAAATAAAATGTGTCAAAGCTATTAAATTTTATAAATGCATGATCACA